CCATGGGCTGCCAAAAGAACCAACAGATCTGTGTTGGAAGAAGTGTAGCCAGAGTGCTCCTTGGAGACCAGGATGGCCAAACATCATAATCTCTCTTATTTTGGACATATTGTCAGGAGGGACCAGTCACTGGAGAAGGATATCATGTTTGGTAAGGTAGAGGGTCAGAGTAAAAAGAGGAAGACCCCAAGTGAGATGAATGGGCAAAATGGCAGCATCAGTGAGCTCAAGCGTGGCAACAATAGGGATGTTGGTCTAGGATCAGGCAATGTTTCGTTCTGCTGTGCATAGGGTTGCTATGAGTCAGTACCGACTTGATGGCACCTAACAACAACAACTACAGATATGGTTGTAGAGTCCTGGTATGGTTCTGTAACATAAGCATTGGACTGTTAACCACAAGGTCAGAGGTTCAAACTCATGAACTGCTCCTCGAAAACCCTATACAAGGCCACTATGAGTCAGAACTGACTCATTGGCACTTAACAGCAACAACAGATATGATTATATATTTATTGTTGCTGTGTCATCGTGTCAGTTCCAATGCATAGTGACTCTGTATAATGTTTTTGAGGAGCAGCTGGTGAGCTTGAACTGCTGACCTCGCAGTTCAAATGACTTTGCAGTCTGGCGCATTAACCTACAGTGCAACACCAGGACTCCAATTATATATTAGATATATGTATATATCTATGTCAGAAATAATTACATTTTTTTCTACATAAAATAATTGCCAAATGAACTTCTAAAATCAATAGAAATTGTTTAAGATTTAAAGGAAGCATATTGTTTTGTGGTTCTGTAAAATAAGCCCTGGATTGCTACTGTAAGGTTGGTGGTTCAAAACCACCATCTGCTGTTAGTAGGAATGAATATGTAACTTAATGGTATTGAAATTTATATTCTGAATTTGAAAATTTGTAAAACAATGAATTTTTAAAAAAAGTATTATTTAACAACTTTCTTGAGGTGTAATTCACATGCTATGCAATTGACCCAGTTAATGGTTTTAATATGAAGAAGCTTCAAAAAGTTTGTGGGAAAATGGAGTTAAGAGATAATGGAATTTTCCGTGAACTTTTTGATGCCCCCTCGTATATTCCTAGATGTGTGTAATCATAATCTCAATCAATTACAGGAACTTTTTTCAATGAGAAATTTCAGCATGTTAGACGAGGGTGCCTCTTCTTTTAAAAAATTGTTTCAGTATAGAAGAGTAATAAAGTATTTGTATGTGTTTTGGCTATGGTTTTTTTATGAAAAGTTTCTAATTGAATGCTGTTAATGATTATGAAGACTTCGAAGTGTGCTGGCTTGAAGAATTTTCAATTAACAATTTAATATAAAAAACTACTGGAAAAAAAATTCTTCCTTTCTTTTCACACAGCAAAAAGACCAGCTTCAGGACAAAGCTTGGCTTCTGTTATACCTAGTCAGAAAATTACAAAGCCTGCTGCTAAATATGGAGTACCTTTAACAGCTAAGAAATATGGTGATGTGCATAAAAAATTACATGAAAAGAAACCACTCCAAAAATATAAACAGGTATGATCATGTTATAAATGATATGCTTATAACAAATCAGTTTAATATTATATTATTACAGCTCAATTCAGTTATCTTGTACTTTATGCTGTTTCACTAGTGTTCAAATAAGAAGCCTTACAAAAGTCATCAAGACATGTTAAGTAAATACATTAAGTGGTGGTAGAAGCATCAAGTAAAGTAATTGTTTCAGTAAAAAGAAAATGAAATAATTTTGTATAATCCATGTAAAGTCATTTGTTCTTATGTATAAAAGAAGTAAATATCTATGTTGTTGTTACGTGTCATTGAGTCAGTTCTGACCCATAACAACCCTGTGTAGGTTTTCCGAGGAGCAGCTGGTGAGCTTGAACCTTTGACTGTGCGGTTCAAATGACTTTGCATTCCAGCGCATTAACCCACAGTGCCACACCAGAACTCCAAATGTATTATATAGTGCGTGAATAATTTCTTTTAGAAAAATCAGCACAAAGCTGGTACCTAAGAGCTGAAGGTTGAAGAGATCCCAACTCTTTTTCAATATGGTATATACCACTCCATAGCCCTTTATGTCAATCACCACTCCTCCCTTCCCAGAGTTCTGAAATACACTGCAATGCCTCACAAAACTCCCAATTTTCAAAGAAATGGCTGGCACAATTGTGGAGACTAGCAAGTTCCAAATCCTTAATTTACAGATCAGTCTGGAGGATTCTTCTCATCCACATAGTCTCAGGAGCTGAGGAACCCAAATCGACAGGCCAGATGACAGGCTGTTGATGGTCAAGGCTATTGGAGCTGGTGAATCAGATCATGTGATGGACTGAAAGTCCCATAAGCCAGAGGTCAAACTTAATGAACCCAGATACCCAATCTTGTCCTTTAAGGAGCATTCTGGCTGTACTTCTTCCTACACAGATTTGTTTGTTCTTCTGGCAGTCCATAGTACTTTTAAAATTTTTCACCAACATCGTAACTCAAATGCTTCGATTCTTCTGCAGTCTTGCTTATTCCTTGTCCAGCTTTCCTTGACCATAGCTTGGGTCAGGCGTGCCTTAAACTGACATAATTGCTCTTGAACACTTTAAAGAGAGTTCATGCAACAGATTTGCCCAATGCAATATGTCATTTGGTTTCATACTGCTACTTTCGTGAGTGTTGACAGTAGATCCAAGCAGAACAAGTCTTGTACAGCTTCAATCTTTTCTCCATTTATCATGATGTTATTTACTGGTTCAGTTATGAAAATTTTTGTTTTCTTTACATGGAAGTGTAATTCATACTGAAGGCTGTGATATTTGATCTTCATCAGTAAGTACTTTAAGTCCTTTTCAGTTGCAGCAAGCAAGGTTGTATCATCTGTATATCACAGGTTATTAATGAATCTTCTTCCATTTCTGACATTCTTCTTCATATAATCCAACTTCTTGAATTGTTTGCTTAGCATATAGATTGTGTAAATATGGTGAAAGAATATAACTTGGTACGCATCTTTTCTGATTTTAAACCATTGAGTGTCCTCTTGACTGCCTCTTGGTCTATGTACAGGTTCCTCAGGAACACAATTAAGGGTTCCAGAATACTTATTCTCCGCAATGTTGTCCATAGCTTGTTATGATCCACATAGTTGAAAGCCTTTGCATAATCAGTAAAGCACAGGTAAACATCTTTCTGGTATTATCTGCTGTCAGCCAAGATCCATCTGTTATCTGCAATGATATTCCTTATTCTACATCCTCTTCTGAATCCAGCTTGAACCTCTGGTAGTACCATGTCTGCGTAGTGTTATAAATGTTTTTGAATTATCTTTAACAACATTTTTATTGCTTGTGGTATTAATGATATTGTTCAGGATTTCCACATTCTGTTGGATCACCTCACTTTGAAATGGGCACAAATATGGATCTCTTCCAATTGATTATCCAGGTAGCTGCCTTCCAAATTTCTTGACATAGATGAATGTGTGCCTCCAGCACTGCATCACTTTGTTGAAAGATTTCTATTGGTATTCTATCAATTCCTGGAGCCATGTTCTTTAACAATGTTTTCTGTGTACCTTGGAAAATGTTCTTCAGTACCATTGGTTCTTGATCATATGTTAGCTCCTGAATTGGTTGCTTACCAACCACTTCTTTTTGATACAGTGACTGTGTATTACATCCATCTTTTTTTAATGCTTTCTGCATCATTCAGTATTTTACCCATAGAATCCTTTGATATTATAAGACGGAGGGTTGGATTTTTTCTTCATTTTCCTCAGCTTGAGATATGCTAAACATGTTCTTCCTTTTTGGTTTTCCAACTGCAGATATATTTGCACATTTCATTATAATAACTTTGTCTCCTCGGCCTGTTCTTTGAAATTTTCAGTTTGGTCCTTCTACTTTCTCATATCTTCCATATTCTTTAGCATCTCTACATTGGAGAGCATGTTTCAGACATCCATTTTGGTCTTTTACTTCTTTCTTGTCTCCTTAATGACTTTTGCTTTCTTCATATCTGGTGTTCTTGATGTTATCCTAGAACTATTCGGGTCTTTGGTCATTAATGTCTAATGCATCAAATTTGTTCTTGAGATGATCTGTAAATTCAAGAGAGATATGTTCAAGGTTGTATTTTGACTCTTGTGGACTTGTTTTAATTTTCTTGAGCTTCAGCCTGAACTTGCATATGAGCAATTGATGGTCTGGTCCACAGTCTGCCCCTAGCCTTCGTTTGGCTGATGATATAGAGATTTTCCACTGTCTTTTCCTGCAGATGTAGTGTATTTCATCTGGTGAGGTCCAAGTGTGTAGTCATCTCTTAGATGTTGTTTAGAAAAAGTATTTACAATGAGTAACTTATTGGTCTTGCAAGGTTCTGTCATGTGATCTCCAGCATTGTTCTGTCACCTTGGTCATATTTTCCAGTGACTAGTCCTTCCTCTTGTTTTCCAACCTTTGTATTCTAATCACCAGTAATTATCACTGCATCTTGATTGCAAGGTTGATCAATTTCAGACTGAAGGCATTGATAGAATTCTCCAATTTCATCATCCCTGGCTATATTGCTTAGTGCATAAATTTGAATCATAGTGGTATTAACTGGTCTTCCTTGTGACCCTGTGGATCAGGCAGCAGAATTCCTCAAAATAGATCTTGAAATATTCTTGTTGGTAATGAATGCGACATCATTCCTCTTCTATTTGTTATTTCTGGCATAGTAAACCATCTGAATGTCATTCAAAATGGACAATATTAGTGCCTAAGTTATCTATGTTTATGCATTCCATTTCCTTTTTGACAGCTTCCTAGATTCATACTTCATACATTCCATATTTCAGTTTTAATGGATGTTTACAACTTTTTTTTCTCATGTTTAGTTGTGCCCCATCAGCAATTAAGATCCCATACGCCATCCACTTTATCATGGTCAACTCTATTTTGAGGAAGCAGCACTTTCCAAGCTGTATTATTTTTTATTTTTTAAAAGATTTTATTGTAAATTGAGTAATAGTTTACATAGGAGAGCATTAACTTTACATTCATCCTATTGTATTTTGTTTCATTGCAATGTTTATAATCTTCTCATGCATCATCATTTAACAGCATTTGCTTCCAATCCCTGTTTTTTTGTTTGTTTGTTTTTTTGGATGTACTCCTAAGCACTCAGGAATATATAACCATTCAAACAACCAAAGGGTATATATCCTGCACACCAGCCCCCCGGCCACCAGCACATGGCCCCTCTCCCTCCTTGAGTCTGGAATCCCTAGCCACTCCATCTCTCCCTGTCATAGTCTCTGCCTCCATCTTGGTGTTGCTGCTTCTCTGGAACACTCTACTTTTCTCCCTTGAAGGTCCCAGGGTCCTCCACTCCTGAAGTGCAAGATCAACCATGCCCCTCCTTTTGTTACAAAATGTCTACCTTTACATTTGCAACATTCACAACCAGTCCTGATAACAAGTAATAATTCACTATTGAACCACAAGAGCCTTATCCCCATCTCCTTTCACCAGTCCTGTCTAGACAGGTTGGAAACCACTCAGTGGAGATTCTACCTTCCCTCGCAACCTCTGAAACTAAGCTCCCTCTTGAAGACTTACTGCGTTCCTTTGTAGACCCCTCCCCCCATTTTGGGTAGCCAGCATCTAAGTTGCTCATCTCTGTCAACCCTGTGTGCAGAGAACGGGTGGTAATAATCCTTACTGTAAAGATTCGTTCCCTCTTTTAAGTTACTACATCCATAAGTATAGATCAAGTTCATCAAATTGCAGCAGATGACACTTTGTCCTCTTCTTTCTTCTTCAAGTCGAGTTCTTATTATCTAGCCATTGAAGCCAGGTCAAATGGATACTATCTGCAAGTATGGGTGTTCTTGTGCTCAGCTGGATGCTTCACTCTCTGCTCTAGTCCTCTATGGCTCTGTCACTGCCTCTGGGCCCAGGAGTCCCCGGGTCTTGCCATACTGCTGGCCATCCAGGTCTCCACCTGGGTTTACGGGGGTCTGTTAAATGTGGTTGGGCTTAGCTCGCAACTTCTTTGCTGTTTTTTTCCCCCCTCTTCCTTTATTACCCCTTTGATTTTGAACAATTGTCCATACCATCATAGTGAGTATATCTTACTAGTGTTTTTGGTCTCCCTGTGTACCTATCTGGAGTCCTGGTGTGGTGCTGTGGGATAATGCACTAGACTGTAAGGTAGGGTTTAACCGTAAGGTTGTTGTTGTTATGAAGTGCCGTCAAGTCGGTTCTGACCCATAGCGACCCTGTATAGGGTTTCCAAGGAGCATCTGGTGAGCTTGAACTGCCGACCTTGTAGTTTAAACGGCTTTGCAGTCTGGCGCATTAACCCACAGCACCACACCAGGACTCCTATAAGTAAAGACTCTTGTAAAATACCTTTGAGTCAGTTCAGACTCATAGCAACCCTATGTAGGGTTTCCAAGGAAACCTTGAACTGACGACCTTGTGGATCACAGTCCAGGGCTGATGCTACAGTACCAAACCAGAACAGCCAGGGAAATTCTATCAGACTGTAAG